ACTGGGCAATGTGTTTGTTTTTAATATAGGACTTATGAAAACTGCAGATGACAGACATCTTAATGTATTTATTTAAAATATTTCTTTTCCACCTGCCTCCCCTAAAGGACCTAAGGCAACTTACATAATTAAAATAGCGTTTAAAAGCTAAAAACAGTAAGTGTACAATTATTTTTTTAAATTAAATATTATATTAAAATGGTAACTAAGATCAATATTAAAACCTATAGCCATATGGTAAGGAATGTCTCCTCTAAGATGGTTCTCTTCAACCATATAATGCACCATCTAAAAACAATGCAATATTTTCCCGACAAAACTGTTTTAGTCATATGGTATGCATGCTCAATTAATTGACCTGTTAAACTTATTTGACTCATGTTGCTTTACTGTGATTGGGTGATTGTTATAAAAGTAGCAGATTAATAACTGATCCCCCCCCCTCACACACACACAAACACACACACAGAGCTGTCTTTTAGAAGTAATGAAGTGCTGTTAAAAATCTTCGTTTTCTGGAGATTTATTTTAAAAATCAGCATTAAAGTCCTTTATTTCTTCAGAGGCCTCTGTTTTGAATGTTGTTCTGTGCTGTCAAGTCGGAATGGATTTATAGCAACACTAATAGGGTTTTCAAAGTACATGAGATATTGAAGGAGTTGGTTTACCAGCTCAGCACCCCCAAAGAGTTTCCATGGCTGAGCAGGGATTCAAACCCAGGCCTCCTGAGTCCTAGTCCATCGTGCTATCCACTTCACCACACCGGGCATTCACTGTAGCTTGCTATTAAACAGGTTTCAGATTAAAGTTTCTGTCCAGGTTTAAATAATCCTCCAAAAAGCTAAAAGTAAACTGCTGGCAGAGTGAGCCTCTTACCACAGGCTTCACTATAGTGTGACACACTCATGCTGGTATTTTGATGTTGATTCTCAAAAGACATGGGCAGCAATGTAGGGAGGGACTGCAAGAAATAAATACATCAGCAGAATTCTTCTGCTCCTGCCCACTCTCTCGCCCAGAGTATTGGAGCTGCAGGGAGGGGCAAGAACAGAACCCAGGGGCCCTCATGGATTTGGAGCCCAGCAGAATATTGCATCAAACACATGTAAGAATCTCACGTACATATATTCAGATAAATAGCAGCCCTGGACTGCAGTGTGCAGTTCTCACACACTGAATATTGATCAAAATTCTTTCTCGTGCACTTATCTTTGCTGTTAGCCTGTGAGTTAATGTTTGCTCCCATTAGTGGAAAACCTTTGACCGCTGGTGTCCTCCACTATGCTTTGGTTCAGTATTGAAGATCCTTGAGTCTTCTAGTTTTGAAAGGTAAAGCAGTGCAGCTTCCCCACCCCAATCCAGCCACCAATTTCTTCGGCCATCTTATGGGTGTGAGAAAGCTGTGCAGAAGAGTTCTTCATTTATTTTTTATAGACCAGGCATAATGTAAGATCAGAAAGATGGACGTGTAGCGGTCTTGGAGACGAGGAAGGAAATGGGAAAAGAGATTCTGTTCAGAAGGTGGGTGGGTGGGTAGCAAAGGATTTACAGATTGCTGCTTCTATGCTAAATAATCAATCTTTCTGAAACCTAATTTTTGCTGTGCATCTCAGTTCATGTCATTTCCTTAAGCACCTCCTGCATCAGCTTTAGCGCATTAGCACTTCCAGTATGTACCACCTTACCACTTTGAATACAAACACCCTCAGTTGATTTTGTCAGCTCTGCAGAATCAGACTTAGTTAATGCTTAAACAAGAGACTAGACTACCAGGGAATACTACATATCCCCAGGTCAAGTAAGCAGCCTATCTGAAATCCAGGAGGGGTACTGCCAGGCAGAATTTAATTGCATGTGCTGTACTGTTTTAGGTGGACCAAAGGTCCGATTTAGTGTGAAGCAGTGTCCTGTATTCTTGTTATGTCCACATATTCCCATCTTATGTGAACTGTCATGCATTCACACTTAACTATACATATCTATTTATTAAGATCTACAAGACAGAATCCAATAGGTGAAAATCCCAGTAGCATAGGACAGAGCTGCCTTAGTGGTGGCCCCATAGCTCTGAAAGAGAGTGGGGCTCAAGCCAGATTGTGGAGCCTTCTAGAAAGCGCATTAGATGTCTTTTGTATGCTGATACAGTATTTCACTTGGTGATATTTTTGTTTTCTCTCCCTGCAAATCTGGATGGACAGATAGATTTAATGGTCTTTTTGTGTTTTCGTTTTCCATGTTGATTTTGTGAGCCACTGACGTATCTATGTGACAGCACTGAAATACATATTTACGATGGACGTAACTACATACATTTTCTTTCTCATATATTTCTGAAAATCTGCTGGGGAGACCTTTTTGCTTTTCTGCAGAACAGAGGAGATTTAGCCAGCAAGGCAGTTACAATTTGGCTTCTGTAACATCACTGGAGCTGAAGTGAGTTAAATGAAAGTGGTTTGTTTTGACAAGGTTGTGAACTGAATTTAGGAGGCTTCCACCCCACTGAGTAGTTTCCTGGTATTCTAAAAACAAAGAGCTGTGTCAAGCTGCATGTAGTGTACATTCTGTGATAATAAAGACACTGTATGAATCTGTATGGTGGCTAATGTTGGATTAGGACGTGGGAGACCTGATGTCCTAACTTTGCAGTGAAACTCCATGGATGGCCTTGGGCTAGTCATACGTTTTCATCCTGATCTACCTTGCAGGGTAGTTGTGTGGATGAAGTGGGAAGGAAGAGAGCCCTATGTGCAATCCTGAGTACGATGGAGGAAAGAGAGTGTATAAATGTAACAAATAAGTAAAACTGGAGATAAATCAGCTCTTCCCTGAAAGGTACTGTCTGCTTCCTCGATTCCTTTGTACACAAAGGATAGAGGTCTCCATTCCCCATAGTCTTTCTGCAAGGCACCCTCCTATACTTCTAGTGTTAAATGCATTCTACCCTTATTTATTTTATTTATTTATTTATTTATTTAACTTGTATGCCGCCCAGTCTACCCAAAGGTCTCTGGGTGGCTTACAACAATTAAAACACAATAAAAAACAATAAAAAGATAAAGCAATTAAAATACAATTAAAATTTAATTAATTGTATTTTAATTATCGCTTATTCTGTTATTATCCTTCTTTTCTTTTCTTCTTTTTTTTCTCTCTTGGTGGCCAAGTGTCTTTCTGTTGTTATCCTTCTTTTCTTTTCTCTGTTGGTGTCCAAGTGTCTCCCCCCCCCCTTCTGTTTCAGAAACGGAAACTGTAGTGAGTGTCTCATCCCCTTTGGGGCTTTTTCCCTTCAAGCTGGCTGGCTGGCTGGCTGCTGCTTTGTTCTTCCTGGCTCTGTCACTGTGCCAGGGAGGGTCAGACAGGTGCTGCCTCCTCCACTGTGCTCAAGGTGTCTAGGGCTTGAGGAACCCAGTTGCCACCTAAGCAACCGTGGGGCAGCTCTGCCGAGAAAGTCCCATTGCTTTGACAGGGAGGTTTTTTTAGCAGGATGTTCTGTCGAGCTTGGTAAACACAAACTGGGAGGCGGGCAGCTGTTGCCTAGCAAAGATCTCAGAACTTACAGAGGTGGGACTGCCCAAGAACAAAGGCAGATCTATTGATAGCTTCCTCCTTCTCCTCCTTCCCCCCCTCCCTCTCAAGCTAATGTAATAGCGAGGCTCTCCGCCAGCGAGAGATCACGTGGGTCCAGGTTGTTTCACTTGCCTTTGTATTAGCAGGGGCAGACTGCTTTGGCCGTTAAAGAGGTAAGCCTCTTTTTGCTGGGGGTATAGGTTGAGCCCCCTGGAGCAAGGGGACTTTTTGCAAGGAGGAGGGGGTCCCTTTGTGCACATGTCCGGAAGGCTGTGTAGTGCATCGGGGGAAGACGGAGCCAAGTGACTGTTCAGCAAAGGAGCAGGAATCGAATGCCGCAGTTCTAATAACAAGCCATTGGGAAACCGTCTGTTATATGACGTTATATCTTGTTTCTGCAGTATTGGCAATCCTCTCTGTTTGGTTTTCGTAAGTAACTTTAGTTATGTTTGTGGTGCTGGCTAATGTATGTCAACGTGTACTCATTTGTGTAAGGGTTGGTCACGTTCATTTGCAAACTGGTATATTTGTGGCTTGCTTCTTTTGTCCCACTCCACTCCCAGCCTGCTTCAAGTTCCAAGCATATGTTGGTAGTGGTTCCTTCTCTCCTTTCATCTGACAAGCCCCATGAGCCCTAATCTTTGTTGTATACTTGCACCTAGCATTTATACAGTCCATCCCAGTGCCTGTATCCTTGTGAAACTCAGGCATGGTGGGGGTACATACTAAATATTTTGAAGGTGTCCAGAATGGACAGTTGGAAGGATTTCAGTTGTGAGTCTGCATGGTAGACTTGACTGATCAGCTCTTTATTTCCCCCCCTGTTCTTCTACTTTTTTTTTCAGAATTTCCCTCAATTCTAAGAGGCAGGATCCTAGTTGTTCTTGCCTTTGGAGGTGGCCACAAGGTGTAACTAACCGCGAGAGCATTTTCTTCTTCTAGGTGTTTAAAAACAGCACTCAGACATTGAACTACTGCTGGGAAAATTGAAAAGCAACCTTTCTCTTTCTATTTTCTGTATTGGAACAATTTGTCTGTATTCTAGCCTTTTCTGCACTGGATTTCTGTGACCTCTTGGCTCATTGAGATTCCTCTTGTCCTCTTAAATGGCACCTAAATCAGCTTTCTCTGTTCCCAAGGGTGTGGGGGCGGAGGGAGAACATCAGCTTTGACGTAGCTTCTGTCTTTACCCCTGTCTGCTCCTGCTGGTGATATATTGTGCTCCATATTGCCTCTTTCTGCAAGAAGGCAGAAACCCAGAGCATGGGAGGTGTTGTCATTGCTCCTTTCAGGTGACAAGACTGAATGGGAATAAAATCTCTTTCTACAAGATCTCCTGCGTCCAGCTGTTGACTTCTCATGTTTTGCAGGATACACCCCATGCAAGTGAGGCTGTGCTTTTTTAGTAATCCTGTTCTTCTTTTCTTCTTTAGGTGGGGGCTGTAGCTGAAAGACTATGTCCACTATGGTGTATCCAAGGGAGGAGAAGATGGACAAGCTAAGCCAAGAGGAGATCATTTCCAACACAAAGCTGGTCATGCAAGGGTTGGAAGCCTTGAAGAATGAGCACAACTCCATTTTGCACAGCCTGCTAGAGACCATCAAATGCCTGAAGAAGGATGAGGAAGCCAACCTAGTGCATGAAAAAGCTAACCTATTGCGCAAGTCGGTAGAGATGATTGAATTGGGGCTTGGAGAAGCTCAGGTGAGCTGCAGTGTAGTAGAGAGTAACTGACAAGTTACATTTGGTAGTGTGCAACTCTGGTGAAGTTGCTGAAGCCTGAGATTGGGAATGCTGCTTAGCTGAGTTTTTATTTCTTGTCTGCTTGCCATGTCTCCTTCCACTTCTTGATAATTTAATGAGGTGGAATAAATTGTGAAAAGTAAGCAAGTATACATGTACTCATATGAAGAATATCCATGTCTTAGCTCTTCTAAATGCAAAATATGTGTCAGTTACAGAAATGTAACCATTATAACAAAATACAAGATAGTCCTGGGCACACAAATTAATTGGCCATTAATTGTACATAATTGATGAGCAGTGTAGATCTTCCCCACCTGTCTAGTTGACAGCATGGCTAACTTCTTCCTTTGGAAGAAGCAACCAAAAGGACATGTGGTCATGACATCATAGCATATCTGAGAAAAAAATCTGTTTTGCCTTGGAGGAGTCTAGGATCAAGTTGTTCAACTTGGGATAAATGGGTTAACAGTTTATTCAGTGGTTGGTAATCTTTGTATCTGTACTTTGTAAGTTCTTCATAAGAATTTATTAAGATTTAGCTAATTCCTTTTTTATACTAAGTTTCCAGTCTCTGTCCAAGATCCATTCTTGCTTTGGGGGTTAGCAGGGGCAGGGTGTTTGCCCTGAGTGAAGCATAGAATATGTTCTGAATTGTGTCCTAACACTTCTGCCTCTTCTAGTAAACTGAATCTTGTTTCACTCTGAGAGCAAATGAGAAAAATACTAGAGACAGCTGGCTGGCTTATTGATGGTGCTCTTCAAAGGTCCACACTTTCCTCCTGACCATAAGTTGAGAAATTAAAGCACTGAATGTCCTAGCTTTAAATAAGGAGCTGAACAAGAATATAATTAGTTGGGTGCTTCCAGGTTTGACTTCGTACATAGCAAGCATCTTTCCTGTGGGCTGTGGGGTTTCCCATGGTATTTTAGATTGGGAACTTTGCTCTGACTAAGGAGAAAAGTTTTGGATACACAGTGGTAGGGGGAACCATTGTGTTGAAAATGATCTCTACATGATAGTGACCCTCTTTCCTTGTGTTTCATGGACCAGGTGATGATGGCTTTATCAAACCATCTGAATGCAGTAGAGTCTGAGAAGCAGAAACTCCGGGCCCAGGTACGTCGGTTATGCCAGGAGAACCAGTGGCTGCGGGATGAGCTAGCAAACACCCAGCAGAAACTGCAGCGCAGTGAACAGACAGTGGCACAACTTGAGGAAGAAAAGAAGCATCTGGAGTTCATGAACCAGCTGAAAAAATATGATGAAGATGTATCTCCATCGGTAAGAGTCTAGAAAAGGCAGGAGCTACCTGTGCCTGATTGGGAGCTCTCCACACAAGACAGGCCAAGAGCAATGAGCTTTCTAAGAGGTCCTAATAACTAACAATTGCATGCTGTCAAATCAAATCTGACTTATGGCAACCCCTTCTCTGGGTTTTCTATGTATAGCGTACTCAGAAGTGGTTTACCATTCTCTTCTTCTGGGGCTGCTCTGAGACTGAGTAGTTTGTTCAAGGCCAAACAGGCTGGCTCTTCTCCTAGGAGGCACCGTACAAAATCATCTGGTGTTCCATCTCACAGAGCTATCCAGCCAGCTAAGGGGCACTGATTGTGTCTAACAAACTGAGTCTGTCCAGTCTGGGTTTCAGTGGGATGAGCACATCTTGCTTACCCTTGAAATAGACTTGGTGTTGCTTTGTTGGGGAAGAAAGCATTTGAATGGTCATTGGGTGAATAAAAGCCAGGAAGTAAGATTTCTAAAATGTGCTAATAAAATCTCATACTCTGACTTCTTAGAAGTTTATTTGTGTTTCTTCTCTCCATTGGTATTTCAGGAGGAGAAGGAAGGTGATTCTACAAAGGATTCGTTGGATGATTTGTTTCCAAATGAAGAAGAGGATCAGGGCCAAGGGTGTAGGTTGCATTCTTCCATTCTACTCTTGGGGAAAGCAGAAAATGAGTGTGAAAGAGAATCATGAAGGTTGCGTGGGCTGCCTTTGTGCTTATATTCCAGAATGTTTTCTGGGCAGTATGAAGAACTAAAGTAATGCCAACTCTCACGTTTATGATCTCCACAATATGACAGCTCACTTTGCCCCTTTCTTTAGTAATGTGATCTCTGTTTTCAGTGCCTCATCAACACAGCAGTGCAGTAGCAGCTGCCCAGCAAGGTGGTTATGAGATCCCAGCACGTCTACGTACCCTCCATAATCTGGTCATCCAGTATGCCTCACAGGGGCGCTATGAAGTGGCTGTACCTCTCTGCAAGCAGGCATTGGAAGACTTGGAAAAGACTTCGGGCCATGATCATCCTGATGTGGCCACCATGCTCAACATCTTGGCCTTGGTATATAGGTGAGAACAGGAAAACACTTCTCTTAAGTGGGGTAGAAGGTGTTTGTTTACTTATGATGCTAGGTTCCATAAACTGGAGTTTCTTGGTTGTTTCCACCATATAGGTATGTCACATGTCTCAGGGATAGGGAAATGGTAGGTAACTCAATGTGCTGGACATTATGGTGGGAAGATGTACAGGGAAAACAGAAACAGGGTGTGTTCTGTGGTGTGAATCTCTGTCTTTCTTAGTATTGCAAACATATGTAAATATCTCTTGCTGCAGGGATCAAAACAAGTACAAGGAGGCAGCTCACTTGCTGAATGATGCACTGTCCATTAGGGAGAAGACACTTGGCAAGGACCATCCTGCAGTGAGTAACCATTTCCTTGACCTTGCTTGGCTGGACGGTCTAAGTTGATGGGATTTGGAAGGAGGTAGTGATCAGCTGACCTATAGGAGTATTGCAGGATTTGGTTTGCCAACCTTCAAGAGGATAATGGTGGGTATACTTTGGATTGGTTCAAGGGCTATCTGAAGCAAGTATAATACTGCAGACTAAGAAGATGATACACTAAGGGACAGAAGCATGGCCAAGTATTTGCTCAGTTATCTTTCAACAATAGCTAATAGTCATTATGGTCATCTGTTACATCTGGTATTAAAGGCAGTATGAACTCAGTGCCAGTTTCTGGCAGACACAAGCGGGATAGTTCTGTTTCCCTTATGCCCTGCTTTTGAACGTCTCATCAGTATCTGATTTGTCTTTGGCCTGCTGCACAAAAGTTCTTATTATATTATTCTGCCCATCTTTAAAAAGAACAAGCCGGAAAAATTAAAATAACTTTTGAGTTCTCACTGGAATGGAGATGAAAGAATCAGTGCCCTGTTCATCTGCAGCCTATATTTCAGACAGTTACGAAACCCTTAATATGGCACCATACAGTAGGTCTGGTGCTGGAGGGGAGCTGGTCACTGGTGCTCTCAGCCTTTGGCGCTTCATACAGTCTGTGCTTCAGCTCTCAGAATCCCTGACCATTGGCTGTGCATACTAGAGTTTCTGAGAGTTTTAAGTTGAAAACATCTGGAGGACAAACAGCTGGGAACCACAACAACTGGTTGTATATTTTTTATCTACCTACATGGTCCTATCAGTGTGCACATCTCTTTACAGAAGTCCAGAGTAACCTGCAGTCATGAGCAAAGCCTAGGAAAGTTGCTTTTAAAACTACAACTCTTAGAGCCTGTAAGTCAGTGTAGTCATTGGAGGATCTTTGGAACTATAGTTCAAAGGATACTTTTCCAAGCTGTGGTCAGGAATCTGTATCGTTTGTAGAAATGAGTCTTACCATCTTGGGCTGACAGTCAACATCCTGGACTCATTCACTTGGTACCTTGTTGTTGCCTTCTTCTGTATTTCGTAATTTCCATTGGCTGATCAGGGAGAGGGCAGCTTTCAATTAGCAGATAGACTCTGATGTTTCAATAACCTGTTTCAGGTGGCACTCTGAAATGGGGTAGGGATGATGAAGGCAAAACACTCCAATGAAGCAGGAAGACTTCTTTTAAAACTATTGTTGGCTCTCAGATGTTCAGACAATAGTTGTCATTTGAGCTGTGCTTCAGGTGGCTAAATGTCTTGGTCTGGCTTTGGTTTACCAGTAATGCTTGTAACGTAGTTGTATTTAAGTGAAAGTTGATTAATATGTCTGTTCTTGTGTCATTCATTCTCTCTCTCTCTCTACTATTCTCTAGTTCTTTCCCTTGGCTTCCTCTCGTCCTTCCATGGCTCTTATGTAAGTGTGCTTATATGCCTCAACAGGTTGCAGCAACCCTAAATAACCTGGCTGTTCTCTATGGCAAAAGGGGGAAATACAAGGAGGCAGAACCATTATGTAAGCGCGCACTGGAAATCCGGGAAAAGGTATCCTTCTTTTTCTCAAGCCTAGGGGAGGAGGGTTGAAGGCACTGGACAGTCAACCAGTGAGGTTCTCTATTGCCTTTAAGTGCTGCTGATCTCTGTACCATCCCTACATCCTGGAAGGGGGATACCTTCAGAAGCAAAACAATTACTAGTCAAAGGCTGATGTAGCACTGTATGCAAAAATAGCAATGTATGTCAGAGTCTTATTATATTTCTGGCTTATTTTCTATGGGAGGGGAGAACAATGTCTCAATATTGCTTCTCTCCCCCCCCCCCAAGTCTCTCTTTGCAATTGTGATTTCAATGTCTGATTCTCCTTTTCAGGTTCTTGGCAAAGATCACCCAGATGTGGCCAAACAGTTAAATAACCTGGCTCTGCTATGCCAGAATCAGGGCAAATATGAGGAAGTAGAGTATTACTACCGCCGGGCACTTGAGATCTATGAATCCCGTCTCGGGCCTGATGACCCCAATGTGGCCAAAACGAAGAATAATCTGGTGGGTCCACTGGCTTACAGGAGGAATGTAGGGAAGCTGCGTGTGAAAAATCGGGTTGTGGGAGCATGTCTTGCCTGTTTTTAAGATGTCATTCCTGTACTCTTTGTTAGGCCTCCTGCTACCTGAAACAAGGCAAATACAAGGATGCAGAGACCCTCTACAAGGAGATTCTCACCCGTGCCCATGTGAAGGAATTCGGCTCTGTGGATGGTAGGTGGACAAGCAAAGAGCGAGGACGCAAGGTTTGTGCAAGGAAGGGGAAGTTTAGCAGGAACCCGGCAGACTGTAGTGGCTACTAAGAGCCCTAAAATTTGATTATGAATAGTAGACTATTAAACACGTACTTGCTGTGCCATTGGTACACAAGAGCTGTAAGAACCTGTGCTGCTTTTGAATTTCTTTGTTGACAGTAGTCCAGGCCTTTTTTTTACTTATCATCATGACCTGATAAGATAAAGAAGCCATGTGTTACATGTGGGTAACATTCATGGTCTCATGAATGTTCCCTTCTCCCACTGGCATACTTCACCATAGTAACTTTATTAAGTTGACAAAAGCAAATCTGCCAAAGGAAATGAGCAGATGGGTTTAAAAGTCAGCACACTGGCATCTTCCTTTCCCATCTGGAGTGTGAGGGAGGCCTTTGGAAATGCCACCAGAACCACAAATGTGGCTTCTCTCCCTTTTCTATACTTTTTCTCTTGCTCCTACAGATGAACATAAGCCTATATGGATGCATGCAGAAGAAAGGGAGGAAATGAGCAAGGTGAGTGTATGAACCCTGTTCTAGTGGGTACTGTTGCATGATGACAGCAGGAATATAATGCACATCTGAGTTTGTCTTTGTGTGTCCTGTACTGGGTGGAATCCCAGACGTTTCTTTACCTTAGAGCAAGGATTTGGAACAGGCTGCTGGGTTTCAAGTCCCATCAGCTGCAGTCTGGCCATTGGTTTAAGAGGATGGGAACTTAATTCCAACTTGTGGGGGTCACCAGTTCCCCAACCCTGCCTTGCAGTGAGTTTGTCTGGTGATTCCAGATCTGGTTACTGATAGCCATAAGGAGCATCAGAGACTTGGTGCTGAAGTATTTTGTGGGGGTGAAAAGTGTAATTGCCTATGTGGGTGCAGTAAGAATACTAACAAGACAGTCCAGGAGCTCCCCATGGTGGAAGATAGAGCTGATAGTCCTGTTCTTTCCATGCCTTGCATGTTTTCTCTCTGTTATAGTGCCCTCCTTAGGACGTACTGGAGAGTGGAAGATGAAGGGATTACAACAGGTTTCTGGCCACAGACACTTCAGAACCAGGAAACTAACGCTTGCACAATGGGAAGGCCATTTTGATAAGAAAACAAAAGTAGTTTGTTTTTTGTTTCCCAAAGTCTTATGTAAAAGAAATAGGAAGAAGCTGCAGTCCTCTTCACCATTACCAACTTCTCCTCCTGAGCAACTTCTGCTTTGGATTCCCCAGTTCTGAAAGGAAGAAACTAATATTTGACCTAGAATGGGAATACGTATGTGTATTAGAGTTACAGCAAACCTAGGTTTCTTAGGATAAAGGTTCTAGCCTTTGGTGCAAAGAATAATGATGCTGCTGCCTCTTCTGGAAAACCTAAACATTACAGGGAAGTGTAGGAACTGTGCACAATGGAGCTAGGGCATGCCACTGAGCTATCCAGCAGTTCACATGCCCTGCTGAAGACTTTTCGATCAATTCTTTTGTATAAACACAGACAATACCAACTTTGTTTCTACTTCAGTCTTCCTTATTTCTTCTGAGCTTAGCTGCATTCCTCACAGTATCTTGGTTGGGGAATGGATTTTTCCAAGAACAGTAATCATTATGAACTCTTCTTGTTGTAATACAAAACATTGGTGGCTTATGATTGAATTGAACAATTAAGGCCAATCTGCTCTTGGTGAAAACAAAAATTGCTACAAGTTGCTCGTTGTGATGTACCTATTGTCCTATGGAAGCATGGCTGTGGTGACTATCAGGATCACTATCTGCATTTCAAAAATGTACCACTTTGCGTCACTTTAGAGACATTCTAGGCTAAGTAAATAAACACAGTGTGAGCAGTTCACAGGCAAGAACATACATGCTTCTGCCTCGCACAGGTTATTCTTATTCTCTCACTCCCCCTCCTCTAGCTCTGTTAGATAGTTTTGATCAAGCAGTCCGAGTCTGCTTTAGGACAATGTTGAGAAAAATCAAAGTTCAGGAGCTACTTTTGGGTCACCTTCCCATGAAAAGAGTGCTGGGTGATTTCTAGGCGTTCTTCACTGATATCTCAAGCTCAACAGGGACAGCTTGTTTTGAATGACAGATTTTTGTACCTAGTCCTTGGAGCACAATTGGCCCATCCTCCAGATCAGAATCATTACCCTGATCCTAAGGTACTGATTTGGAGACACTTCTGTGCCTTGTGTGGTTTCGTACCAAACAATTCTGGTTTTTGTATCATTGGTGGCTTTGCACTGGAAAACATTCTTTCCACTCCCTAATAATTTTAATTTTAGGCACTTTCATTTTTACCACACCTTTCTTTCTTTCCTTCCCTCTTAACTCCTTTCACTTTGTAATTCAGATTCATGAGAAAACATACACAAGACATTCTGTTGACATTTCTTCTTTCTTGAATACTGCTGAACAGGATTTTCAGTTCTGCATACGGTTTGCATTCCAGGAGGCAAATTTGGTACTGTGGGGAATGTGTGGATCTGAGCTCAGAACCTGATCTCCCCTCATTTTCCTGCACAGTCTTTTCTTTCCAGTATTTGGAAAAAATGGTTTAGTTTTTTGTTGTTGAACTACGGCGCCCCAAATCCCCAGTCAGCCAGTGGCTGGAGGATTTTGGAGCGCAAGTTAAAAAACAACATGATCAAATTCTTCTTCTTCCACTGAATCATATAATTGCTCTGATTGGCCTGTAACTCTGTCTATTGCTGGTTTATTTCTAGACATTGGTGAGAGTTACTGCAAAAAATGGAGCATAAGACCTAGAAACTTTCTTCTCCCACTTCTTTTGCTCAACCAACACATGACTCATGTGGACACTAAGGCCCTATTAACTCTTTAGGCAGCAGCTGGCTAGCTGCCTTATCCCAAGTCAGTCTACTGGTCAGTCTCAACCTGTTCTGACCAGAGCCCTGGGCAGGAAGCTTTCCAGTGACCAGCTACTTCATCCTTTTCACTGGTGACGCCACAGGTTGAATCTGGGAATTTTGAGTGGAAGTCATGTACTCTACCCCTCAGATCTTCCCCTTGTGTAAATTAAATAGCCAGTGCTGTGCTTGTGTTTGCAACACAATAAATACCTATCTAAGCGCTCTCTCCAACTGGGGCTTTCTGGCATGTGTGCACACCGTCTAGCTCAGTGCATTTAATAACATGTCTCTACTTCATATATTATGACGCATGGCAGTGCTGTAATTACAGGTATAAGAAGGAGCTAATTCGTACAATAATCGATCCTTTGCTGAACCTCAGGAAGATGGCAAGTGAACCAGTCTGCAGACATAATCTGTAAATGGAGTCCTTTTGAACCTTTGACAGCTGTGAGCAGAAATTCAGCTGATACCTCAAACACATACAGTCATTTACCATATCATTTTCTTTAAAGACGTTTGCTGAATAATACTTAGAGAAGGCATTCTATAACAATGCTTAGTGTTCAGAAATTGTAAATAGAGTTGCAGGAGCCGCCAACCCCCACTCTGTTCAGTGTCTCCATACATGGGAGGAGTCACCTAAGGCAAACCAGGGAGTCAGTGTAAGGTGAACTGTGGCCTTCCAGCTAATAACTAGTTCTTTAGCAGCTAAGCTTCATCACATTTTTTTATGAATACAGAAGTGAGCTGGGACTTTCCAGAATCACAAAACAGAGAGGGCTTTTCAAGTCATGGAGAAGAGTGAGATCATATGTTGTTTCTGGAATAAGGAGCTACTTTTCAGTAATGTGTCCCTTCTATTTCTTTCTTTCTAATGTTGTCTTCCACTGACATTCTTGGTTTCTTGTTTCTTATGCTATTAAAAGGCATAAAATCCATCTTGCTAAAGCATTGCTTGTTCATACTTTTGTCATACTTTATCCATATAGAGTAATAAGGTTGTAGATACAGCACGAACCCATACACGTTTACTCCGCAGAAACAAACAAACTGAACACAGTAAGCCTTACTTTTCTGTGAATCAAAGGTGGGGAGCGTGTGACCCTGCCTGAGGTTGTGTAATTGCCCTTTCCGCTCATCCCTCACTACTGGCTGATGGGAATTGCATTTTAGCCATACCTGGGGCATCACATGTTCCTGAGCCCTATTGTGAATCAGTTGTGCATACAAATAGCTCAATCTGTGGGGCATACCTGGCCAGGAAAATTAGAGGAGGGGAATAAAAAGGACAGTGATGACAAGCATCTTTCTTGTGGTACTTAAGAAATGTGTCTTGTTAGGAAGAGGTAAATATGTGGCTTTTAAGTGGAAAGTTCCACTTGCTGTGTGAGTGTTTGGAAAGAGAACAGAATTTTATGGGACAAAAAAAGATGCTTGTTATGGAGAGAGGACTAGGTGCTGTTGTCTTCTTCAATTTTCACCTCAAAATCAGTCAGCTGCATTAGAGATGTAAGTTGTCACATAAAGGGAAATTGGGTTAATGTCTAAGTATATAACAACATGCGCTTTGGAATCCATTCCAAAGAAATAGAGAGCAGCCTGATGAGGAGGAGCTGAGTGGAAAGTAACCACTAATGTTGCCTTCCTGACTTATCTAGGAAGGGCACTACTCTCAAGGGAGCACTAAGTAAGCTAGGGGAAAGCCAGATTGAAAGATTAGGGCCTTGTACGGCTAACGAACAGAATCCTTTGTTTCTGAGTGATAATTTTTGCTTAATGATTCTGGCCTGCAAATGCCCCTACCGTCTATCTTAGCTGTTACTCCATCAGTGCTTTGTACAGAAGTGTACTGACCTGCTGTTGTGACGGCGCTGCTTGACTGAGTTGAGGGGCCTGAGAATTCATATCAACATGTGGAAAATTTATGGAAATCTGTAAGACCAAGAGCTGCTTTTCCGTGGTCCTGCGTTTCCCCAGATGCCACTGTCAGATGGTCATCATGAAGATTGCTGCAGGAAGTTGCACAGAAATGGGTGTGAACTGAACCCCTATAATCCACCTTTTAAATACACCCATTGAGGACTCTCAGATCCCTACAAGTTCTGTGCTTCTAAAACAGTGCAACTGGGGTTCAGTAGTTCTCCTGACAGAACTGGATGTGCATTAATCTCATTTGAGAAGGCCCACACCCTACTTTAAGAGAACTGGTTTTGCATGCAAAAGGACACAGGCTCGATTCCCTCTATCTCCTGGAGAGTCGCTACCAATCAGTGTCCACAGTACTGGGCCAGATGAACTGGTGGTTTGATTCTACATAAGACAGCTTGCTAGCTTCCTACACCATTTTCCAATACATTCAGTACTTAAATGTTTTTTAGCATTAAGTCTTAAGTTGTGATTGGCTTAGTACCCCTCAGATACCAGGATTGTCAAAGTGGTTGGTGGATGAACTTCTGTGAGTGCATTTTTTAAAACAAAAAACACAAACTTCTTTTGAAGCCTAAGGATCTCAACGGACTGGAGTCCTGGATTTGGCTTACTGCCCCAGAGAATGCAAAGAGGGCTAATGTAAAATAAAAGTTGTAGCCAATAATTGGATGGGAAGTTTTTGCAAGCCAGGAGTGCTTCCAAGAGAGGGGCATGCACTGGGCAAGGTCCTGGTGTGTTGTTCTCCTGATCTAACATTTAATGTTACAAAATAAAAAAGTAGGCAAAGGAGGACATAATGTATATAAAAATATTAATGGTTTGCTGAAATTGGGTAGGAAGGGACATTTCTTTTCCCTCTGCTGTAATACAGAGTCCTGGGTCATCCATTGAAGCTGAGTGATGGGAGAATCCAGACACAAAAAAGGAAGGATTTCATCATATAGTTAAAAAGACAAGATCTGCTGCCCTAAAATGTAATAATGCCGACTTGGAAGACTTTAAATGAGGATTTGCACATATTCACAGATGATGAGGTGATACATAGCTGCTGGTCATAATGGCTGTATCCTGTTCCACAGGATCAGACACTGAGGGGCTCTATATCTCAGTTTGCTAGAGGGAAAGAGTAGAAAGGATGCTGTTGCACACACATCCTACTTATGGCTTCTTAGAGGCATCAGATTGGCTGCAAACAGAATGCTGGGCTGAGTAGACCCTTGGTCTAATCTAGTATAGCTCACGTGCAGGGAGAAACGTACTATGGCTTCTTAGAGGCATCAGATTGGCTGGAAACAGAATGCTGGCCTTAGGCCCTTGGTCTAATATAGTATAGCTCACACGCAGGGAGAAACGTATTATTTCTGCAGTTAAATGAGCATATCCATCACTTGTTAAAAAGAATTATCTTGCAGTAATAGTGAAACTGAGATCTCCACTTTGCACATATTGCAGGTTACTCAGTGTCTGCATTACATGTGCTTATTTGTGTCTCTTGGTTTGACATAAACCAGTGTTCATCTACTGGATTATATATCTGTAGCTGTAGGCAGACACTGGGGCCACCATCTCTGCTTATCTGACTTGGTTTTTAATCATCAAATTGGTTGAAATCTAATTAGTACAACTCCACTGTTTAAACTGGGATGATGTTGTCACCAAGCAACGTTTAATATAGTTTAAAACATCTTATCGCCCTCTACAGGTTCTGTGGTTCCCCAGGGATCTCTTTTGCCCTGGGGAAGCCTTAGGAGGGGAGAGCTTCATTGGCATTCGCCTCTTAGCAACAATCTGGCAGCAGTTTTCAAATATAAAAACTCCCCTCCCAGCTCCCAGGGCCAAAGGGATCCTTAGGGAGCCATAAAGCTTGTAGAGGAGGAAGAGTAGGAAGTTTAAAATTTAATTAAGGTAAAGATTAAAGTTGCTGGATGATGATGTCATCCATATACAGTGGAACTGTGCAACAGGATTTTGTTATGTATGTAACAAACCTGTGGTGGAGAGAGCTCTCACAGAGTCACTTCTGGGTAGTGAGGACAATGACATCATCTGCCATCTCACTTCCCAATTTCCTCTGAACATAACTGTAAGCATCATATTAGCTGTGAGAGAAATGGATTTTTCCAGGACCAGTATATTATTGCAAGGTATCCCTGTTGCAGTGCAAAGTAATTTATGGCAATCTAGTCTTGAACAGCAATTAAGAGCTAGTAGCTTTACAAAGTTCTCCTCCAAATAAGCTTTTATGAATCGATTCGGTGATCTGCAGTTTGATTTTTCCTGAGGGCAGTGGATGCTGACTGCGGGGACTGCCATGATGAGTATTTGCACTTTGAAATTAGCCACTACCTTGTTGAACAAAATTTAGTGTTTTGTTCTGTGGCCATGATCTCTGTGCTCCTTTAATGTACACATTTCCAGTATATGTTTTTATTTATTTTTTGCAGTTGTAGGACTTCAGATTGCATCAAACCTATTCTGGTATCTTTGTAGATCTGTCTTCTGAATTACAGTGCTTATGGCTTAACCTTCTTGATAATCTGACATGTCACTCTTTTGCGTTATCTGTGCCTTGCACAAAGTTGATTTTGCTGAGCCAGGGGAGCAGGAGTATGTGCGGTTTTACCCAATAGAGAAATATTTTCTAGGTGACCTTCTTTGTTTCAGTTCAGGTGGTGAAGAATCTTCTTTGGATTTTTTTCCCCAGTGGAAAAACCTCTGCAAGCTTGTTGTCCCTGTATTGTCTTGATAGACTAGTTTGGTCCTCTAGTACTATGAAGCCCTAGGTGTTCCAATGAGAGATTCTTTCCTTCCATTAACTTGAACCATCCAGGAAAGGGAAATATTAGACCTTCCAGCTACTTTGGGTTTCCAATTCCCCAAAGCTTCAGCTGGCATAATAATACAATAATAATTCTATGCTATCAAGTCCATTCTGACTTACGGTGACCTTTTTCAGGTTTTTCTAGGTAGGGAATACACTGAAGTTGTATCCCCATTCCCTTCTTCTAGGGTGCCCTGGGACTGTGCAGCTTGCCCAAGGCACGCAGGCTGACTCTCCTTCCTGGAGGCACAGTAGGGGATCAAACTCTCAACTTCTGACTCTGCAACCAGATACCTAACTCACTGAGCTATCCAGCAAGCATGATCAGTGATAAAGGAAGACAGGAGTTATAGTCCAAAATGTCTGAAGGCATAAAGATTCTGACACAGGCAGAACCTCTTCTTCCAGCAGGTAGAACCCAAAAGGGTAGCCTTGTTAAATTTGTTGCAAAAACAACAGCAAAATTTTTTGAAATACTATACCTGAAATACTAGATTACAGTTATGCTGGATGTGCCCTAATTATTATTCCACTGGTAGTCCGCTATATCTATACAGTCTCAAATATACAGGAGCCAGCATAGCTGCAAGCTAACTGTGGTCAAGCAGGTTTCTGCTGTTTTCTATCCTGCTCAGCATGCAAGCAGCACACCTTTCAAGTACTGTGGCTTTGACGGTTCTAACCAGCTTTCTCCTCCCACCTTTCTCTTTCAGAGCAAACACAGAGAAAACACCCCCTATGCAGAGTATGGTGGATGGTACAAAGCCTGCAAGGTCAGCAGGTATGGTGTAGTGTTTGCCAAAGGTTCACAACCTTCTTCTCTGTTGTCATTCCTGCAGCTTTGTGGGAGATTTTCCTGAATCCCACATTCTTCCAAGACATTTGGCTGCCCAGAAATGTGAGGGAAGGTTTGGGGGAGTGAAGAAGATCAGTGAAACTGAAGAGGGAGGCCAAGAACATAGAGCAGTTCGAAGACATTTGGCTGTCTAAGGAGGTCCTTGGGGATGCTGCATGGGGAGGGGGAAGAGAAGCTACCAGAGCTTTCCAGCTTGGGAGACGGACCTCATTCTACCCAATGGCAGGACTGGCCTTTTAAGGACATCCTTTAGGCAAGTGATTTAAGGGGCAGCAAATGAGAAGAAATGGAGAAGAAAAACACAGTACCTGAAGACGTTTAGACCAATGCCTGCTTTTGTGACTAATACAATAACTGGGGCTGTGTGTATAGCCAGCTAGGGAACAAAAGGCTTTTATCAAGGGGCAAGTACCTCTTTTTTCAGAAATATGTCCTGTAATTTCAAGGAGTTAATAGCAGGAAGTGGGAACTGTTGGTAGAGGTGGCTCCATGTTCAGGGGGTATGAGCAAAAATTGCTAACTTCAGCACTTTCTCCTTTATTTTTGTCAGCCCCACAGTGAACACTACCTTGAGGAATCTGGGTGCACTGTACAGACGCCAAGGCAAGTTGGAGGCTGCGGAAACGTTGGAAGAATGTGCAATGCGATCCAGGAGACAGGTAAGGCCAGCACCAACTCAGGACCAACAGCAAGTGTGATGGAGAGAGAGGGCAAACTGTGGCCTTCCAGATGATGTTGGTGTTCATTTCCACCAATTTGACCAATGATTGAGGGTATTGGAGGCGCCAGCAACATCTGGAGAACTGCAGCTCTTTTATCTTTGGAAAATGGGAACTCTTAGAAAATCAACTAAAAGATGTGTGTTTCTTCATAAAAGTCAGTGTGCCGAACATGATAATTTTGACTGATGGAGTTCAGCAGCTTAGATCTGGAACCCTATGATACAGGCTGATGTGAAAAATGTAAAATGCTGTTATAGGTTTCTGTGGCTAGAATGTGGCCAATTGTAAGTGTTCCTTCTGCTGGAAAGTCAAAGCTAGCTAACTTGGTAGAATTTTATTTCGAGAACAAAACTCATGGCAGAATTAGAAACTGAGCAGAAATAGGAGTTTGATGGTACTTCTCCAGTGCTCAGTGATATCTTGTGAAAGTTCTCCACATTTTGGAATAATGAGCTTTAGACCATGATACAAGTTTGCATCCTGTTGGTAGGGTTGCAGATTGTGTAGGACTCAGTCTTTAATAAGTCTCTGCAACATACATTAGCCACAGTTGGGGACCCAAGTCTAATTGGTAATCGCAAGGAGAACAGATTTTATTTATTTTACTATGACTTGTTTTAATTCTTGATTTTCATGGTAGTCTACTTATATAGCTTGGAGGCAATCATTCAAATGCAGAATTTTGAAACTAAGTGCTGAATTTACTATTGTTTTGGTTTTATTTTTGCTTCTTTTTTATAGTATGTTTGTAGCCATTATAGCTCTAACAATAGGCAGGAAATGTCCTGTGGGGAAAAACTAGATGTTTATATTTATTTATATTTATTTATTCAGTTTGTATCCCGCTCCCATTTGTATTGAGGCAATTCTCTCTGCAAGTTACAATACATGAATAGAAAACAAAACAAAATTAAATAATAGAAACATTAAAGGTGGCAACAATGACACTAAAAAAAACAAATGGCACCAATGAATCATATTAACCCAGAGTAGATGGAGGAATGGGGGGGGGGGATAAGTGCAGGGGGGGAAAGAGCCAGATGGATGCATTGTTGTCTTCCATTCTCCCTCCCCTGAATCAAAGAATCGTATTTATTCAGTTTGTATCCCGCTCCCATTTGTATTGAGGCAATTCTCTCTGCAAGTTACAATACATGCAATAGAAAACAAAACAAAATTAAAAAATAGAAACATTAAAGGTGGCAACAATGACACTAAAAAACAGATGGCACCAATGACTCATATTAACCCAGAGTAGATGGAGGAATGGGGGGGGGGATAAGTGCAGGGGTGGAAAGAGAGCCAGGTGGATGCATTGTTGTCTTCTATTCTCCCTCCCCTGAATCAAAGAATCACAGAACAATTGAGTTGAGAGGGGCCTATAAGGCCATTGGGTGCAAATCCCTACTCAATGCAGGAAACCAAAGCAGATCTGACAAGTAGTTGTCCAACTTTCTCTTGAATGCCTCTAGTGTTGGAGTGCTCACCACCTCCCAAGGTAATTGGTTCCATTGTCACACTGCTCTAACATTTAAGAAGTTGAGCCCATTATTGCATGCCCTGCGCTCTGGGATAATCAAGAACAGATCCTGTCCCTCCTCTGTATGACTCCTTTTCAAGTATTTGAAAAATGCTATCATCTCTCCCTTTAGTCTTCTTTTCTCGAGGCTAAACATGCTCACTTATTTCAGTCTTTCTTCATAGGGCTTGATTTCCAGTCTCATGATCATCCTTGTTGCCTTCTTCTGAACTTGCTACAGTTTGTTGGCATCCTTCTTAAAGTGTGGTGTCCAGAACTAGACACACTACTCTAGATGAGGCCTAGCCTAATCATTTTAAATTACCATATGTCAAATAAGCAAATGTCTGCAGAATTGTTTGATTTTTTGCTTTAAAGAAGTCAGAATACAGATGGGGTCTCCACAACTGCAGATGTCCCCTTTGCTAGTGTTGGGTTCTCCTGTTTGACATGAGAGAATAAACAAACCTGCAGGAACTGAGCACCATGTGGCAGCTGTTAACCCTAGCCCTGTGTTAAATCACAGCCAGGTAAACATGGTTAATAACTTCCAGACAAGCCATGAAGTAAAGGTGACTTTTGGTTCTTGGCTTGTTTTGAAGTCATTAGGTATGTCGGGGTGGGTTGGTTATTAATAGAACCTGTAATAGAATCTGTACTTCACTGGCTTGGTCACTCCCCCAAAAGGGGCTTTATGTGGGCACACAAACTATGCATATCCTCCAGTAACAAGTCTGAATAGAGTGTGTGCAATACTTGTTGCAGAATTAGGATTGTCTCACCACACCAGAACTTTTCTTCATCCAGCATATTCACTGCTATATGTCAATGGCCAGGAAACAGATGGTAGCATGTGTTTCTAGAAAAGTTAGCGGAATTTTGCAGTTCTCTTGCTAAGGCCTGACACTGACTCTAACCTCACCTCGCTATTTTTACACTTTGTTCCTTTGCAGGGTATTGATCCTATTAACCAGACCAAGGTGGTAGAGATTCTGAAAGAGGGTGATGGCTCTGAGCGGAGGAGGAGCCGAGACAGCCTGGCGGGCAACGTCAAATATGAGAATGCCACAGATGGTAGTGAGGAAGTGAGTATGGGCGTGGAATGGAATGGGGTAAGTACAAGTCCACCATCAAGACCCGCCTAGTCCAGCCAAGAGAGGCAAAGGGCAACAGCTCCTTAAGTTCTGTATTCAAATGCTGCCCTCTGTCTTCTCAGGTAGCTGATGGCCTGTCGTGGCACGTCACCTTCATTCATCTTCTGCATGCTTCCTGACCACTCTTCTTATTGCCACTTAGCCATACCTAATTAAGGAGTTTTTTCCATCTAGATTTCTCTCCCTTGCTTTGAGCTGCTCAGTCTTTCCCCCAATCCCCCATTTACAGTACTTTTAAAGGAAGAGCAAAAGCAACTAATGATAGACACCTCGGTTTTCTCTACTAATACACCACAGTACTACTCTCCCTGTAGGTACTGCAAAAGGGGAGGCGGTGGGGAGGGGAAGATAACTTTGCTCTTGGAGGAAGAACTAGTGGTGGAAAATGTTATATTTGTGGACTGCAGTTCCCAGAATGCCACAACTAGCGTGGCCAGTAAATATTCTGGGGGTTGTACTCTGAAAAAGCAACCTTTTCCCTCTCCCTGAAGTAATTTTATGTTGTGGTGGGCTTGGGGGTCCCAAAGGAAACTGGAGAAGGGGGAGATTGGTGTGGGTGTGCACGCATGTGTGTGTGACTGAATAATGTGTCTAGAGGCGGTGGAGTGAATGTGTAAAGGAAACCTGTCTTAATGTGGCAAGGTGCTACAAGTTCATGCACATGCTATCCTGCATATTTTGTAAGAGAGTAGCAGTTATGGAAGGTCTCACCCGATGCTGGTCTTTATAGTGTGATCATGAACTTCTGTGGATAAACAGTAGGGTATTTCCTAAGGGAGCGCTTGTTAGCTGTAGCCTGGAAGAGTATCTTGGTAGTCAAATGCAGAACCCAAGAGATTTCAGGTCTTGAAAAACTTATTCCAACATCCACATGAACACATTTGTAGTTAATGACTGAGAGCTGTGGTACCCTGTTTCCCCGAAAATAAGACCTAACCTGAAAATAAGCCCTAGTATGATTTTTCAGGATGCTCGTAATATAAGCCCTACCCCAGAAATAAGCCCTAGTTAAGTGAAACCCCACCCTCCACTATTGTGCAGCAACTGGAAGAAGATAACATGACTGTATTTGAATAAATGTAGATGGCTGTACATGAAAAAAAAAATAAAACATATCCTGAAAAGAAGCCCTAATGTGTTTTTTGGAGCAAAAATTAATATAAGACTCTGTGTTATTTTCAGGGAAACAGGGTAGATGAAATGAGGCTTTAGTGAAAAGCATACCAAATTTGTTTACCAATTTTCCCTGCCCCTTGGAAGTCTCCTCCAAAGACTATTCTTTCCTCCATGGTCAGAAAGGTGTGTACCTGGTTCAGATTTTGGCAGTCTAATGCATGTAACTCTTGAGAATGAGAGGAAGGTTGCAGTGTATTGCCACTCTTGATGTAGCCATGAACTTACTCGTTCCTAGGAGGGTTCTTCATAAAACATGTAGGTGGTCAAAAAAGACCTAGCTTAAGAATGGAAAGGCACTGACTATCCATTTATTTCTATGCTTTGGTTACATTAACATACGTTCACTCCATTACTCACTAACCCTTCACACTCTGCTTTGCTATTCCCTTGCCTGCATGCACTTCTTCATTCCCCATCTGTCACAAGCAAACTGCCATGACAGCCAATCAGCGCCAAGGCGTCTTGCAATCTTGATTGTGGATTGTACCTAACAGGAAGAGGAGAAACCTGCAAAAGAGAACACAAGAGTCCCCTAAAAGCTTGGGAAACAGGAAGTGATTTTTTTTGAAGCACAATTCCTGGTGGATGCTAGAAGCTATAATCTAAAGAAATAATTTTTCCAGGCACTGAATACAAGATGTTCAGATCCCCAAGATTTAAATTCTTTGCTTCCTCAAGGAAAGATGTCCCCAAGACTGATACGATGCTTCTAATAACAGCCTCTGTGGCCCTGTGGTATAATTCTAGCTTTACAACTTGCATTTCAGATGCATGTTCTAAGTAGTTGAACAATCAGATGTTAGTCTTGCTCCTTTTCTTAGGTTCAGGAAGACTGTCTAATTTAAATATAATAATACTAATAATAAATACCGTGTTTTTCTGTGTATAAGACTATACTTTTGTCTAAAATCTTTAGACTAAAAATTGAGGGTCGTCTTATACACGGAAGTTGAGGATAGAACAAAAACAAGTGAAGGGGAAAGCAGGGATCAAAGCGATCCTGCAGCACTTTGATCCCTTTCCCCCTACACTTCATAAGCTCCACTTAGAGTTCTTAATTTTGGATTAGAAAAGTGGGTGTGTCTTATACATGGGGGTATCTTATACACGGAAAAATACGGTACACATACAGTGAAAAGAGAATTCACACATCCCTTTCTGCTCTTTAAATGGTCCAAGGACCCACTAATGGTCTGGTGTTTAATGTCTCCATCTTTGGGCCTAATAATTGTGCTACTTATATGCTATTTCATAGCGCTTAAAGCATGATCTGGGTAGTTTACAATTATACAAGCTACACATTGCCCCCTCCCCAGTGAGCTGGGTACTCAGTTTACCAACATCAGAAAGATGGAAAGTTGAGTCAACTTTGAGCTAGCTACCTGAACCCATTAGGACTGAACCAAGTTTTTTGAGCAGTCTTCACTGTAGTATTGCACGAAAAGGCTCCTTAATGTCATTTGGAGGCCTTACCCACTGTTCCCCTTTGTTCAAAACTATTTCCATTTCCAAAAAAGTAACAGCTCATCTCCACCTTTAGTATTTATGTAGTATCATTTGCAGGCTGCCTTTCTCCTGATGAGATGAGGTTTAACCAAGAAGAATTAAAACACAATAAATTGTGCATTAAAAAGGAATTAAACCTTAATACTAATTACAAATATATTAAACAATAAAAAAAATCTGAAACTTTGAAAACAAAGGACTCAATTATTTAAACTCTGTCTAAAAAAGTGGGTCTTCAGCTGTCGGTGGAAGGCTAAAAGGCGTGGAGCCCACCCAGTCTCCCAAGGGAGAGCATTCCACAGCCTTGGAGCTACCACAGAGAAGACCTTGTCTCATGTTCCCATCAAGTGTACCTTCAATGGGACTGACAGGAAGGCCTCCTCTGATGACCTTAAACGTTGAGAATGATCGTATGGATAGATGCGTAGCTGTCTGTTTTCCAGTGTTTAGAGTAGGCTTTAGCCAGGACAAAGGGCCAGTTAGTTCAGATGCTAGGTCCTTTTATTGTTGTATTCTGTACTGCAGTACTCTCCCTATATTCTTTGGCAGTTATTGTTTTTTGCAGACACTGTACCAGAGCTTGTAAACAGTACATTATTTAGACTACAGCTCTCAGAATTCCCCAGGCAGCACGAGCAGTGACAATATTAGAAATAAAGTGTATTTCTATTCCAGTAAAAGAAAAAATAATATATTTCATTGATTAATTAGTTACTTTATGACTTGCTTTTCTACCAGTAAAGGCACTAAAATCTTTAAAACTTTAAAACAGCAATAAAATAAAGTAAAAATTAAAAAAGCCAGCAGCAGCGCAAGGTTCCAAAAGCCAATAAGTTTTAGTTTTTAGAAACCAAGAGGACGACCTGAATGTACCCTTTTGATTAATGCTGTCTGGATGTACACAGATCCAAACTCCTTCCTGACTCAGCTCTTGTCAAAGCTATGGAGCTGGTTCATCAGCCGGTTTCCTTTCATCGTCATCCCTTTAGAACTGCGGAGCTGGAAGGGACCCTATGGATTATTAGTCCAACCCTTGTCAAGGAGGCCCAGTGGGGAATTGATTTCTCAACCTCTGGCTCCACAGCCAGATGCCTTAACCTATCCAGTACAGTGGTGCCTCACATAACGAGCACACCGTTTAACGACGAATTCGCATAGCGATCCATTTTTTGGGATCACTAATGCAATCGCATACCGATGGTTCCAATGGGCAAAAATCGCTTTGCAATGATCAGTAAGCGTTTCGCTTACCAATCTTCGCATTGCGATGTCGGGGGAACAGCTGTTCAGCGGTTCCAAAATGGCCACCGGAAGACCCAAAATGGCCGCGCGCAGCATTTTCACGTCCTGCCCTCGCTTACCGAGGGTGCGAAAATGCCTGCACTATGGAGGAACATCGCTGAACGGTAAGTCTGGGGCCCAATGGGTTTTTCTATTCCGTTTAGCGATGTTTCCGAATAGCGATGGTTAATCCGGAACGGATTAACCTCGCTATGCAGGGCACCACTGTAGTTCTGAGCTTTACTTATCCTCAAAAGCAATCCACTTGAAGAAGAAAGGGCTAGAGTGGAATCTCGTGGCACAGGAAAAGAGAGCCTCTGCGCATGGGCCAAATACTATCTGCAGAGATGTTCCATATGACCCATGGAGAGCTGTGTGAAAGCTCTATCCTAAGAGGAGGTCCTAGCCCCGCTTCTTAAGCCTCACCACAGAGGAATCCCTTGCTGTTTCTGACCTGATCAGAAAAACGAAGACTGCCTTCCTGACTTAATTCCTATGCAGGAAATAGAAGGAGGAGGACTTTGTGCCCCTTTTCTTCTCCCCACATGGGGATGGAAGGACGAGAGTGGAGCCCGTCTCTGGTCAAAACACTGCATGCAAAAGCTCCCTGTGAGACTTCTGCTGAGGACCCACTGGTGTCCTCTGACCAAGGAGGAGCATCTGCCTGCCCACAGAAGTAGTCCCCCTTTCTGTTGTAACAACCATTGACTACTAGAGCATCTACGTCCTTCCTATTCTTCTCTGTATGAGATAGATGTAAAGGAAGATATGGGGATGTGTGACTATCACACGCATGCCCACCCCACACTTTCCTTTCTGAGATGAACACGGTATTCCTTCCTCTTGTATCAACCGTTTCTACGCAACCGTTTCTATTTCTTCAGATCTTCCTTACATGAGGATTAAAAGTCGAATTAAATGTTGAAACCGTTATCCACAGTCCGTTGGATAGGAAAGGATTATTAAAATACAGCTCTTTCTCTAGTTTTTATTTCCGAGCTCAATTGGATTATGTTTGACAGGATTATAATAGGCTTTATGAGTAGCTAAAGATTATAGCATGTGAAATGGGAGCTATCTCACCCAAGGTCTCTTCTAACTGGGCAGGATCATAATTTTCGTCACAAAAAGCCAGTGATCACTCATGACAAGGCTGGGGGGGGAGTGGCCCCTTGAAATATTGGGCAATTAATCTTATGAGTAGGTGTCTTAGCCTATAAGGTGCCCACATAAGAAGCTATAAATCGTAGTGACTCTCACTTGTTATTCTTCAGTTTCCACTTTATATATACATAGGACTTAGGTTATGATCCTTCATACATTTGCTTGAGAGTTAGTTCTGTGGGGCTTACTTCAAAGTAACACTGTAGGCGCATTATGAGAACCTTGAGGTGTAGGAGTTTTTAAATGGGGTCATCTGTAATTCCACCATTATTAGCAACTTAGCATTATTAGCAATTACCAGCTCAGTATCATTCTAGTTGTAAAAATGGACATGAGGACATTCTGCGTAATGAGGCCAGAATCTAGGTAAAATTGGATCCATCATTCATATAACAACACAGAGGTGGAGGAGAGAGCTTTTTGACAAACACATCTTCTACCCCACCCCAAAGCAGCACCTAATAGCTAAAGCAGCTGCTTCCATTCCTGCTAGAGCTGACACTCCATAATGCGTTGGGAATTTTTCATGACACAGTGGTGGCGCACTTAACGACGATATTCCGTTCCAGGAAAATTGCTGTTAAGTAAAAACATCGTAAACCGAAAATAAAAATGCCATTGAAACACATTGAAACCCATTCAATGCGGTAAAAACTCACCATCCAGCGAAGATCCTCCATACAGTGGCCATTTTCGCTGCCTGTGTATAGCGAGGAATCCATCCCTAAGCACAGCGGGGAGCCATTTTAATCACCCGGTAGCCATTTTGAAACCGCCGATCAGATGTTCAAAAAACGTCATTTTGCGAAGAATCGGTTCCCGAAGCAGGGAACCGATCATCGCAAAGTGAAATTCCCCCATTCAGACCATTGTTTTGCGATCGCAGTTACGATCGCAAAAAGATCATCATTAAGTGGTTTCGTCGTAAGGCGGGGCAATCGTAAAGCGAGGCACCACTGTACACTGCTGCTGAGGCTTATGGAATATTAACCACCATCCCATGACAGAGCCTTTGTTCCTGGCCCTGCACCTTAGGGTTAGGGTTATCCAGCACTTTGCTGTTAGGGCAGAGTCAGGAGTTGCAACACTGCCGCTCTTCACTCTGCCTTGCTCCATGTGGCACAATGGGCAAAAAACATGCACTCATACCATCCCCTCTCCATGCTCAAGAACCCTAACTAGCTAATTGAAGCCCTAGGACATAATGTAATGTCTTCTTATACTTTTGAAGTAGTTATTTTGGTACCCTGTTTCCCCGAAAATAAGACAGGGTCTTATATTAATTTTTGTTCCAAAAAAACGCATTAGGTCTTATCTTCAGGGGAAGTCTTATTTTTTTCATGTACGGCAATCTAAATTTATTCAAATACAGTCCTGTCATTGTCTTCTGGTTGCTGCACAATGGTGGAGGGCGTGGTTTCACTCAACTGGGGCTTATTTTTGGGGTAGGGCTTATATTACTAGAATCCTGAAAAATCATACTAGGGCTTATTTTCAAGTTAGATGTTATTTCCAGGGAAACAGGGCAAAAAGGTAGATTTATTAATAACAAGGAACAAGAATAGTAGTGTTACAAGTTGTAATTTGATCATGAGGTCTGCATACATCATTAGCTAATGTGTAAGTAAGTAGGCTATTATTTTAAAAATCCTTCCAATTTATTTAAATCTTACATTTCTTCTATCATTTTACGTACTTGCTAATAGGGTGGATTTGATTTAAATCAAATTGATACAAATTTTTAAAAACTGATTTCTTTTCATAATTTACATTTTAAAAATCTACTTTTTTAATTGTGATTTGAATCAATTTGATTTTTAAAAAATCATAGATTTTTCAGTCCTGCTTGCTACTAGATACTCCTGAAAATGACCAATTTCAAACAGTTCAAGGAATCATAATTGCATGATATTCATCAAGCATTCAACAAAAAATATTGTTATTTTTTAACTCTAATGTTGCCAAACAACAAGAAACATTAATACAAACCAGCTAGCACTGATGACTTGATAACTTAACTAGATCTGTTTCAAATCTGATGCCACAAAGCAACCATTGTTCCCAAAAAGCATGTCAAAGAGTGGGGGAATTAGCAGTATAGAACCTGATCATGCATGAAACCAGAAAAAGTTTGAAATATAGAATGCTTGGTTTAATTTGAATTTGTAAACCCCAGTTCAGTCATGTCCTATCCAGAGAAACTGACCACAATTAGAGTGGAACATCAAGCGCCTCTGCTCTTTATCATCACTTTCTACAAGTGGAAAGACACAAGTCTGCAAGGGAGACATTCCGGCTGTCCTGTAGAGCCTAGGAAATCAGGATCCTTCTACATCCCCCCACTCCCCCCTTTTTTCTTTCCTGCTCTTCCTTTATCTCTCTCCACCCCCACCAACACATTGGATTGGTAGTAGGAAGAAGTATTGAGATAACCTAGGAAGTATTTCTCATACAACCATGCCCTGTGCTGATTCCTGTAAGTAGAGGGCCGAATAACTGCTCTCAGACTAATTTCCTGGTGATCTTGTGGTCTATCCTGCTCCAAAGCATGATTGTGCGGTTATTTTAGAGCATTCCTGATCCAATTACATGTTTTTCTCATTTACGTGGAATGGTTTATTCCCAGTTAATGGGTGGCTGTGTGACTTCCCACCCCTCTGCACTTATGTGTCCCCCATGCTTGTACCTTTGCCTGTACCCCTCTCCCAGCCACTTGCGAAGGTTACTGTACATCCTTCTCACTATGGCCTTGTGAATTGTGTCTTTTTCCTCTCTGTGCACTAGGCTTAAATGCCTCCTGAGAACTTCCTTTTCCCCTTCTCCCCTTCACAACAATCACCTGGATGCTTGTGCCGCTCCTTCTGACTTTTTCCTCCAAACCGTTCCCCCTCCTTCCACTGTTCCTGCTCTCCTCGGCCAGGACTCCACACCAGTTTCCCCCCAACCTTCCATCCCGGTGGGCATCGAGGAACAGAGCGGCATCTGCAGAGAAATGTCCAGCTGGCTGCAACGGGCTCCGCTCCTGCCTCAACCAGCAAGATCGGGAAGAAACTCCACATGGCTGCCTTTCCCTTCCCTACCTCACCCTGCAAAGTCTTGCCTTCCGCCAGGGCAAGGCTTTGCAAGGATTGCTTGGGGCTTCCGCCATTCTCTTTCCTGTGTCTCGGCAGGAGCCTGAATGAAAAGGCTTCTGCTGTCTCAGGACAGCCTTGCTCTCCATTCTGTGCCCTCCTCATTGTTGAAGCGTGGCCCCCCCATCCCTCTTCCTCTTACCTCCTAATATAATCAGATTTGTTGCTCCATATGAGCTCTGTGCCCCCTTCTTGTTGGTTTCTCTTTCTTTTTCTGCCAGAACACGGGGTGAAGAGTTAGTAGACAATGAGTACATGTATATCTCCAGCTTCAAATTGTAAGGAAGGTGGAGGACGGGTCTGCAGTCCTTGATCATATCTCATCATTTTTGCTCTGATATACAATGCCCTAATGGGGTTTTGTATGCCGCCTGCTGCTACTGGAGAGGCCTGGTTGCCACCTTTTATAGCAGCTGGGCCTGAGGCCTGTACAAATGGGGACAGACGTTGCTCTAACATCTTTCTCTTAGTGGGTGTGGATCATTTTAACCTGTTCCTGTAAAGCTCAAAAGATGGGACATGTGATATCAGGAACCAAAAGTTCTGAAAGATGTGTCAAGTTTAAAACTGAAGAGACATAAGTATGAGCTGTAGGAATGGACACAGTCTACCTCCATGAATGAAATGGAAGCATTTACAGGTGGTTAAATTATAGCGGTTGGGGCAGTCCTAAGGATGTTTTCACAATATTGTCCAATGCCAGCTAGTCTGATTATACTTTGGGCTTGATTTGGTCTGCCTATGTCAGAAGAAGATTCTATGAATTTGGGAATATTTCCTCACGCTGTCCCTTTTTTCCCCCTGTGCAAGAAGAGGAGCAACTGTAGATAAAGGTGGTTTGTCTACCTTTGCTTTGTGCTACTCCACCCATAAGGTCACAGGAGTGGTTAATGACGGCATATTTACATCTCTTAATTTATTATGATAAATGTACATTTTTAATCATGCTGTTGCTTAACACTGGAGATCACAGTGTCCCAGTCAAATGACCACAAAACACACACGTGAAGTAGCTGTGATTAAGTAGTTAAGGTAGCAACTGTAGTTTCTGCTTATTTGGAAACATGGGCAAGTGAACAGAAGAAAGAGCTGGAACAACATCGCCTATATAAAATGGAAGAAAGCTAAGGCTCTTTCATGCAAATTAGTAAGGAACAGAGACAGGCTATGGTAAAAGGCCTGTCTTTTACAGGGAGCATTGATTAAGCCTCTAGATATCTAGAAGATTGTAATTGAAGGGGAAAAGATGTTGGTTTGGGACATGAAGGTCTACTGTAGAAGTGAGACAGAGATGTTATAAGATGTACTGTGTGATTCTACACATCTTAGAAGCAAGCCCCACTGGTTTCAGTGGTGCTCACGCCTAGCTAGGTAGAGTTACATCTGTAGTGGTAGCTGTGTCACTGAACGTGTAAAGATTTGGTTTTGAAGTGATATGAGGTAAAGGTTTCTGGGTTGGGGAGGGAAACGAGAGATTGTCCCTTCAGGAGCCAGGGCACAGGATGGGTCCTGTAGAGCATGACAAAAATGTTTTGTTTTGTTTTAGAATTATGGATTGGAAGTTAGAAGAGTAAAACATATTGGAAGAAGAGTAGAACACTAACATACTGTTGAGCAGAAAATGGTTACGTTGCCTGTATAGCAGGACAATGAAAGACAGTTGAGAAGTGCTGGAGAATTCTGCTAGTCATGACAGCATATGTCCGAGCGGTAGCATGGTGCTTTGGTGCATCTCCTAATCATGGAGATTTAAAGGAAAACTTGCCTTCAGCTCCCATGCCAAGCATAGCTTTTGTGGCTGTTTTTTTGTCTTTTCGTTGTGGTTCCGTGTTCTTGTGATCATAGCTGGTGTAAAAGGAGACTGTAGGGAAAAAAAACCTAGGTATGTTCCTAAATTAGAAATAGGACTAGATGTTTGGTAACCATTTTTGTACCCTTTTTGCTCCAGATGCCTATAAACTAGACACTGCTGGGAGCCAAAATTGAATCATAAGAGTGTACAGCACTTTTTTAAAAAAAAAATGGAGCCGTTCTCTGCCAGGAGCAGGATACCAGCTCTGGATTGGCCATGGGTGGAAAATATGCTTTCAGTCGGAGCTGGGTGGCAAGACAAGTTAGAGGCTCAATCTCGTAGTGGCCATTGTGGATCCTTTTAGGAAGCTCTCTGCAAGAAGGAGTGGAAGTGTTTTTCGTTGATTTTTGCATTGCCTGCCGGCTTCAGAAGAAGGGCTATTTATGCATGCTTTGAATGTGGCAGCAGCTTCCTGTAAGAGAGGAACAGTTTATGCTGGAGTGACACAAGTTATCCTCTGTAACAGCCTCCTACACCGTGTTTACACATTGCTGCTGCACAAGGAGGGGGTCTGTCCCAGGGTGTTGTGAAGAAGCATTTGAAGTGTGACCTGGAAATTAGCTCCCTGGGGTCTCCCCTTAAAGCCCAATCAGGTCTTTCCCCCCAGTTCTTCATTTTGTCTTGCACTGGGCTGTCTGTGAGCCTTTTTATAGCCCTGGGGGTGGGCGGATAGGGGGGATTGCTGAAAGCCCGTTCTGCTCTTTGACTTTGACACGTATTTGGTGCTTTTCTTTTATGTTGTAAACTAAATTGAGTTCCAATTAAAGGCAGAACAACCAGAACCCTGGTTTCTTTGTGCCTCATTTCCCTATGTCATCTTCATTTAAAATAAAATTACAAAGGTTCATTGTCTCTTTCTTATATGGTCAAGTCTTTAGAGTTTTACACATAGCTGGTATTGATTCCCACCCCATTTTTTGGTTTTCTCAGCAGAACAGCAGGAAACTGACTTTATATGTGGGTATGTCTATTTCTAGTATGCGTGGACCGCCTCTGTGTGGCTGTTGGTCTAAAGAGAGAGAGATGAGCCTATGTGTGAAGAAGCCCAGTACAAAGTAATTCCATCGGAATAAAATGGAGATGGGGAACATTAAGAAGACTTGCTTTATAAACAGGTTGCTTCTTCCTGGTGTGATCTGGTTCCTTCTAAGCCAGCAGTAGCACCTGTGAATCTCTAGGTGGTGTTGGATGATAATTCCCATCGTCCCTCACCACTGGCCAGGGTTGATAGAAACTGAAGTCCAACAACATCTGAAGGGTCAAGTGTTTCCTGATGCTAAATCTGAGCAAATTAAATTAAAACATATTGGAAGAAGAGCAGAACACTTAACTAATTGCTTAATATTGCTTCAGATATTCCAAGAATGACAGAATACTATTTGTTCCTCAGATACAGCAACATAAACTCAGTTCAGGGGATAACTCACCTCTTTTTTTGCCTTTCATTTCCTCTGTCCAAACTGATCATACTAGTCTGTCTCCTTCCCCACAGCTTCACATATTGTCGGTTTATAAATTCAGAATTAATATTTGTCCTGTTGTTCAGGCTACGTAATTTGACAAAACAGAGCATTATTATTGGGGAATAAGCAGGACAATGTTGCCTGAGTATCAGCAGCAGCCAAATATAAATTGGCCAAGGGCAGAGAGAACATGTCTGATGGAAGAACTGCACTCATTACATTTGAATAGAAGCTCATCAGTAGTGATGGTTTTCTGGTTTTCCTTTAAAAAAAACAACAGATGATGCCAATGTATTTTGAGCTAAATGCTATCTGGCAATAGAGTTCAATCAGTTAAACCTTTCCTAGCATAGAGGTGCATTGATGAGGAAAGCTTCCCCTGCCTATCCAAAAATAAATGAATAATAGGCAAGCTAAGTTGGGTGCAGGAGTATTCAGCTTTTTCAACTCCATTGAATTCTACTGTACAGCAAAGGAATAGAGGCGGTCTGACCCATACACAGAGTATGTAAACTGGATAAGAATGGAGTTGTCTACACCAGGATGTGCAACCCATCAGCCTTCATCTGTTGGTGGACTGGAATTACCATCAGCCCTAGCTAGCGCAGCAATGGTGAAGCAGGCGAGAGTTGTGGTCCTACAAAATCTAGAGGGTCACAAATTGTCTGGCCATTGCCCACCCCCTTACTTGCCACTGATCTCAGTGGGACTTATTTGTGACAAGTTACCTCTAGACCTGCACTCTAAAGAACTGGCACTATTGATTTTATTTACTACATATATATCCAGTTACCAACAAGGCCTTTCAGGAAGCTTTGTAAGCTCCAGTAGACATTTCTTTATAAAATAGTTCCAACAGCTCTATGCCACAAAATGTGCAACTGGTACATATGATATATTTCATTGGTTTTGCAGCCTCCCAGTGCAATCCTACACGTTTGCTTGGAAACAAGCCTGCTGCTGCTGCTTCAGTTCAGTAGGACAGAGATCTAATCAGTCTGAGGCTAAAGTAATCTGCAGCTACAGTCAGCTTAAATACTGTAGAAGTCTATAATGACAACATGCTTTCCTAATCCTAGTTGTTAAGAGGTTTGTATGGAAAAACAAAACAAAAAACACCAGACAGATAGAACATAACGGAGCAAAATGTCTAACCTTCTTGAGACAGAACTGGAGAAGATTAACTCTTCGGTATAAATTCTTACAAGTATTCATAGTAGCCCATGTTCCACTGATCACAGGCGGAGAATGTGTGGCCTGCCAGACTTTACACTGCTGCCTAAACCTGATGGGAATTACAGTGCAATCACACGTCAAAAGGCCAGGTTAGCCAATCCTGGTTTATCTGATGGTGATTAAAAAAGCCACTGGTAGATCATGAGGACCTACTGTTGAGGTTGCTTAGCCATCTGTCATTATATAAACCACAGATAGAGCTGTAATAACAAGAGGAACACAGAAAAACCTGTCATCTCTCTGCTATCTCTTCAGCCCATTCATGAGCTCATGTCAAATGTTCCTTAAATAATTATGCCTTTTAACTTATTGGAAATATTCATGGTAGACATATGTCTTGTTTCTGGACTCATAGATCTACAGGACGGCAGGTTCCTTTTGTTACTGAAGTCTCACTTGAGGCTATATCTGCAATTTTATCAAAGATCCTGGAAAGATTTAACATCCATAAGCCTGGGTGTGATCATCCTTTGGTAGACAGAAATTGCTACCCAAAGTCTCTAGTTGTAGTTGGTACGCACCCAGAGATGGATGTAACTAAATATTCAGAAATGCTGTCGTTTTCCATTGATATGTCAGGCTCAACGGGGCTACTCACTCCAAACTTTGTCCTTGAAGTATTCCCTGATGCAAGCAATAATTCTTCTCTTTGTTGGTTTCACGAGCCATGATAATTGTGCATTTGATGCGCACACATGCACAGTTTTTTGCAGTAAACACACCATCTTCATCCCTGTCCTCAAGCTTTATTCAGTCATTTAATTTGTGCATTGAGCCCATATGCCTTGAGACTAGCCTCATGCCCGCCATTTTTGCTTTCTGCACTTTTTTAAAAAACTGCTCAAAAAGGAGCAGTTTGCTACATCAGGTTAGCCTCTCTATGTTGGCCAGAACCTGAAGAATTGAGGGATTCTTACAGCAGTTTTTTCCCTCTTCATATTATGCATCCTTTGCTGAAAGTGATGATGAGGCAGAGGTAGGTGTAATGAGGATGAATTCAATACAGATCATTAAGATAAATCTTAATTTGAGCCCTGTTTCATAGATCGCACTTAATCTATGTGCTTGGTAATGGAGTTTTTAAACATTGGGAAGTTACAAAACTTCAGTACCCCACATGCAGATTGAATGGCCTCCATGATACAGCCAAAGCAAGAACCAAAAATTCCCTCCCTGGTGTACAAGAAGGATGAGCATTTGCTATGTCATACAATTGGACTGCTTTTCTCCCAAGCAATGACATCAGAAAATAAATAATTATAGAGGTTGCTGAGGGCCTATTGTCTCCCCTTGTGCTTCCTGTATCATGGCTTTACTTAACGTAGGTGTCCCATCTCTCCAGACTTGTAGAGAGGATGGGTGGGAATTCTTGTGTCCATCACATTATGTCAAGCAGGAGACCCCCCACAGTCAACATTTGCAGGAATAGTCCTCTGAGAGTGTTACTCCTCCCAGTTCATAGGGATGCACCAGCCTAATATCCATTTACTGAAAGTGGTGGAGTAACACAAATCTATGTTTTCAGAAGGGAAATACTGACCACGGACAAGAGTGTGCTTTTCAGAACTTCAGTACAATACTTGCTTATTTCCAGACAAGGTCACAAAAGTGCAAATGTATTCCTCCATAGAGGGTGGAGAGTTAATGCTTATAAAGACCAATGGTAGGCATGAAGTCTTGAGCCAGGACAGACTAACTTGATATAGATATTGATGGTCTCTGAACAAAAAGTTGCAGAATGGATTAAGTCCTAAAAAAAACCCACGAAGCAGAAGCAACAAAATCTAAAACAAGCATTGAAATACAGTGGAGCAGAATGGTTGGTTCAATGTCCAAATCTTCAGTTTAGTAATTCTTCACAACCAAAAATAACAATTTAGTGTTGGATTAATTCTGCAGTAGACGTTTTCTATAATAGGGGTGAATAATTTGCAGCCCTCCAAATGTTGTTGATCTCAGCTCCCATCAGTCCCACACAACATGTGAAGTGTGATACAAGCTGCAGTCTGCCAGCAGCTGGATAGCCACAAATTTGTCCATCTGTGACCTTTAAGAAAACAGAGAACATCTGTCTCCATACACACATGCACACTCCAATCCTCAAACCAAGGACTGAGATCATCACATTACTGCAAGGAAAGCCTGTCAGGGCTGTCAAATATGAAGCTACTGGTGGGTGCTTGCCAGTGTTACTGTAACATAGAATCATAGAAAAGTGAAGTTGGAAGGGGCCTACAAGGCCATCAAGTCCAACCCCCTACTCAATGCAGGAATGCAATCAAAGCATATCTGCCAGGCAGTTATCTGAGCTTTTCTTGAATGCCTCACATGGGAAAGATTACCAAATTATAAAGTGGGCTTGAGCATACAGTGGTTAATCTGTAAATATTTCTATGACAGCAAACCATTTCCCACATACAGTGACTTGCTCCTTCATTATCTACATAAAGCACTACATATTAATCCCTGACTTTATGCATGTAAATTAAGGGTAATCTTCCTCCAAGCTAATAATCTGTTATGTTTACTGGCAGACTAGCAGGGAAAAGGTGATGGCCATGTGCCATATGGAATCCAGTGAGGGATTTTTCTAAAGGGTCCAAGGCCATTAATCCCTCTCTCATACTAAGAACATTTTTGGCCATGAGATCTCTTTTTAGCCTCTTTTTAGCCTTCAGTTGTGTGGATTTGGTATCATGCCCCCAATTCTCTAAAATGCAAAAATTCCAGAAGTGAATGCTTAGCTGCTACCTGTTTCTATTCCCCCAACATGCACTTTTCTCCTAATTCTTTTGGAGCTAGTGCACCCCACAACAGATCCTGGGAAACACAAATAGGGGCCCCTGATGACTAAAATATGCCCACTCCTTTTGTACATGGAAGAGAACACTCATGTGTTTGCTTCCAGCACTCTGGCACTCTGTGGTGAGTTGGAGTTAACATGTTTGACTCCAGTTCCCATCTACCCCTGCCAGCTTGAATGGTAGAGAAGGGTGATAGAAGCAGCGATTCATTAGCATCTTGAAGACCTGTGTGTTGCCCCATCTTGGCTTTTGTATAACCAAAAAGAGAACCAAGAATACGGCTACAAAACATATGCATGTTTGCTTCTTAAAATTTGGGGCAGGGTCACCAAGGAAAGTCAAGT